GAGCTGGGACTGTTTAGCCTGGAGAAGAGCAACTGAGAGGGGATCTGATCAATGCTGATCAATATCTAAAGGGTGGATGTCAAGAGGATGGGGCCAGACTCTTCTCAGTGGTGCTCAGCAACAAGACAAGGGGCAAGGGGCTCTAACTGGAACACAGGAGGTTCTATCTGCAGATGAGGAGAAATGTCTTTACTGTGAGGGTGCCAGAGCACTGGGACAGGCTGCCCAGAGAGGGTGTGGAGTCTCCTTCCCTGGAGAGATTCCAAACCCACCTGGACATGATCCTGTGCAGCTTGCTGGAGATGGACTTCCTTTGGCAAGGGGGGTTGGACTGGATGATCTCCAGAGGTCCCTTCCAACCCCCACCAGTCTGGGATTCTGTGGTTATTCCTCTGGGGCTTACAGCGCATTGTATAATAACTCTTACTGCTCTTCTGAATGAAAATCCATTGCTGGGTAAGGGAGGTGTTAGCTGTAAATTCACTGGCTTTTGGAACTCACAACTGATGTGTTTTAGAGAAAAAAAAAAACGTCTGAAAAAAGAAGAATAATTTCAAGTTGCCCAAAGCAAAGCAGCTAAAAGAGAGGGGAGCTGCTGTGGGTGATCTTCAGAGGGAAGAGGCGTTATGATTTGTTTTGCACCAGACTAGCTTCAGCCACCCCAGTGTTAGTCCTTCCTGGCACAAAGTGGGGTGACAAGAATGCGCAGCTTTGCACAGCGTTTGGGGTGAGGGGAACCGCTCCTTCCTGGGGCAGCGCATGTGTCTGTGGAATTCAGGTGAGCTGGGGAAGCACCAGTCACAGTACTTTTTTTTTCTTTTCTTTTTTTTTGTTCCACTTTTTTTTCTGTGGTGAGCAGCAGAATATTATTGTGAACAAAGAATTTGGTTTGTGACAGTATTTGGGAGTCTTTTTCTAGCACACTCAGCTAACGCCCAGGAAGCCCACCACATGCCTATTCCTGTCCCTGCTTCAGTCCCTGACTTCTTTTATTTCACCTACAGTAATATGTATCGTTTTCTTGAACAACCAAATAATCTGCACCATCAAGCATCACTATCTCCTATTGCCAGAGCCCTCTTCATACTGCTGCAGCTGCCTGCTCTAGAAATTCTGCTGTCTAGAAACACAGGTAGAACCTCTAGAATAAAAATAAAAGCCCTGGTAAACTCTGCCGTATTTTTTCTCCATCCTCATTGTTGTATTTATACTAGAAGATTTCTTCCCTGATTCTGTAGCAGCCGTGATGTCCCATAGACATGGCGACCTCACCCACTGGATGCTGCATTTTTGCCTTTCCTTTGGTACCTCTGCACCACCTGATGGAGAAGGATTGTTTGGGCCGCACAATTAACGGCGTTACTCTGCAGATACTCAACTGGACCAGGACTATCTGGGAGCCATTTTTATATCCCACCTCATAAAACAAGGGCTGCCTTGGGTTCTGGGGTGTCTCCTGTTCTCCAGCAAGGTACTTGGATTTCCACACCTCTGTGTCCCCTGGGCAGATGCGGTGGTGGCTGCACGTGTCGTGGGTTGCGGGCACAGCCCTGACTTTGGTGGTTGGATGCTGTGGTCAGGGTGTGTCAGGCAGAACAGTGAGATGTCAGTGTTCCCACATATGAAGCACAGTTTTCACCCTGCTGATCCAGTCATTTCCAGTTCATTTCCAGGCAGAAGTCCTAGCAGTGCATGGAAGTGGCCCCAGCCTGAGCTTTCAGGCACAGCTTCCCATGGGCAGGGCGATGTGCAGGGTCAGGAGTAACTGAAGTGACACACCGGGTGCCAGCGCGGCTGTTTGCCTTCTGCAGCTCCAGCGCTTTGTGTCGCGCCGAGAATCGGCTTCCTTCAGCCTTCCAGGCTTCAGCTGGAGCATGTACAAGTCTCATGGAAGATCTTAAAGCTTTCTTTGGCTAGCATCTCTTGTAATTCTAACAACGTGCCTTTGTTTCAGAATCACCCGTTTGCTGCTCTGAGGGTTAATTGGCTCCACTTACAGCACCATGGATGAACTGCAGGATGTTCAGCTGACAGAGATCAAACCGCTGCTGAATGATAAGGTAAGGGGGTAGCTGCTCCTCTGCTCTCACAGGTGTGAGACTCTCTGACTCTCTGTCTGCCACGGGGCCCTGATTGCCAGGATCTGTTTACAGCTTGAAGTACCTTAGGTACTGAAAAACAGTAAAAGCCTCCCCGCTCTGATAATCCACCAGCACACAGACTTCCAAAGTCTCAGGAAAAGACAGGCCACCACAGTTCCTGTAGGTTTGGAGTCCCAGCCAAGCAGTCTGTCATGCCTGTACTGAGGAGTTAGAAAGGCAGGGCAGAACTGCAAAGGTGACACCATTCCTGACCTGGCAGAGCTGCAGATTCTCTAAGAAGTTCATGCTTGTTAGAGAAACCTTGGATTGTATCCCGTTTTCTTTTTTGTTTAAAATCTTTTGTCTTAAATGATCCTTTTGTGTTTTGACCCCCAAAACAACCCTGTCTCCCTGGATTTTGTAATGGAGAGCCATTTCCTTTTAATATTTCCAGAGCCTAACTAAAACAGTCCAGCTTCATGCAATACTGAAACTTTGGAAAATTATTGTATTGCAGCAGCTGTTTAAGGCTTTCCCTCTGTCTTCCATGGGCTGGAGAAGGGCGATCTGGGCTTTAGGAAAGCGCTAGCATCACTGGATTCTGCCACAAATTGTTGTTCTGAGTGTCTAAATCATTATGGGCCATCCCAACAAGATCTAGAATCTTTCATCTGCAAATTGTGATTATGACCAATGTGGTTTGGTCACTTTCCATACGGAACAGCCAAGTGTGATGGGATGTGAAGCAGTTCCCAGTGCTTTACTGTTTAGTGGCTGACATCAAGAACCAGCTTGTGCTGCCAAAGTGATATGGTACTTTCTCCACTCGCTGTGTGCTTGCAGAAGACTGCACTGTCTAGTACAAACTCCCACCCAAAATGGGTGAAATCTCTGAAATTCTGCTATGTTTTAGTCTGTGCTGCTTAGTTTTTGCTCATTTCTGCAGTGTGCTAGCACATCTGTTTAGTGTCTGTAAAATATAAAAATTCAGATGGAATCTGCAGTCCAGCTGCCTCTTCTTATGGCTGACTGCTAGGCTTCCACCATAGCTTAAACATAACTTTTAAAAATGTTTCCAGGGAGGATGAGCCTTGGAAGAACAAAATCAGTGTAGACAAGCAGATAAAAATATAGAAAGGCCTTGAAAACAGTTTGACTTCAAAATGAGATGAATGTTCACAGAAGACAAGCTTCCTAAAGGCTTCCTCCAGCTCTTGCTCATGATTTTCCTATGATTTTCCATGTTTGAGTTCAAGAGGGTAGATTTCCCCTGCTTCAGTGAGCTGACCTAAGTAGAAGGTATTGAAGCATGCCAAAGCAAAGTGGCTTTCACGGTATAAGTTTTCAGTCTCTCTGTCAAGTATTGCCTGATCAGTCCCATCAGATCTCTGCCGTGGGGTTGGCTGGACAGCCACTTCTCTTAGCTAACATCTGGGACAGACCTGGTTTAAATGCAGAGCACTTACCTGAACAGCCCAGTGGTGTTAACCAGCATACAGAAGGGCACATACAAAGTGATATTTGGTTTCTTTGATTCAGTTCGGAAGTTACAGGAGGTATATACTATCTCAGAAGGAAAAAATAGGTAGAGTGGCTCCAGAACCATTCTCAGCACTGCCTGGGAAGAGTAGTGTGCTATAGCTCTCCTTTTTACACTTTCTTTTAACAAAAGACATGCCTCAGGGAGCTGCCATCTCTGAGATCTGGTCCTTATTAATGCTTTCAAGCTTGAAATAATACCCAGGTGCTTTTTTAGACATAGGTTATGGAGCATCTGGGTGTGGTTCCATAACGTGCCATTCTGTGCAGCGTATTAGAGTCCAGAAAGTATTGAGCTGGCAGTTTACTGAGGTTTTTACTGAGCAGCTCACTTTAGATGTAGGAGTTTGAGCCAGCATGGATTAATGGCCAGAAATAGTACAGTAAAGCTCTTAAAGCGCTAATGGGTGAGTGCACGTGAAATCTTCAGATACTCAAAGGCTGCTGTACAGAGAAACTGAGCTCTGGTGTCTTAAACTCCAGCACCCGTGGAATTGCCTAGGAAATGGAAATGCGTCATACCTTGTTCACCTTGAACTGTAGGAAATGCCACCGGGGACAGCCGGGTCCTGGCTCTGTTTTGTCTCAGATCTAAGTTAGCAGAAAATTATAAGCCTGACTTTTAAAGAAAACAAGCACTCTTATATTTGTGTGTAACTTAAGTCTGACAGCAAGTGCGTGGAAGTAAAATACATTAGATTAGATACATTCACCTCATTCAGGCTCACTGAAATGCAGTGACTTTATACTGGGAAAGAAAATCAATTTCAAATGTTCCCATTTAGTTGAAAGAGAGTGAAAAGAGAGTACCTGTAACCTGATCAGGAAACTTATCCCAGTGACACTTTATTGTTCTGGCTGGTCCATATTCTGGCACCTTTGACTCCTCTATTAATACAGCCTCAGGGAGAAGTTACTGAAATGTGTCAGCTTCATTTGGGAGATTGAATGGACAGCCCTTAGGCTGGACTGGGTCATTCCAGCTAGCTCTTTGCCTTTGAGATGCAGCCATCACACCTTCAGAGGACTGCAAGGCATACCTTAATCTTAGACTTTCTCAGGTTAAGATAATGAATAGATTAATAGTTTCAAGTCAGATTTTGGGGTGTTAAAACCAAGTACCCAGCAGTCAGGACATGTCAGTACTAACGCTACTTGTGCACCCTGGTGTACCCTGACAACAAACAACACAGTTGCAGCCCTTCATTCCTTGCTTTGTGTCATTTCCTCCCCGCCTGGGGCATCTCACTTTTCTCAGTACAAATTCTGATCAATCAGCCTTTTCATTACTCAGCATGCACCATCCCAGTCCAGTGCTGGGTACGGAAGATTCTCATTTCTTCACAGGCATTTTTACTGTCCTTAAACCCTGTGGTATTGGATGACTGAATTTACCTTCTTTACAGCCTGGTAGATGAGAAGGCTCTACTGTCAGTATTTAACAGAGCAGGGAACGAGGCATAGACAGAGTGGTCAGAAATCTCAACTAACTTTGAGATCTCAAACAGAAAT